TTGCAATTTAGAAAGAACAGCCCTGGTGCCAATTACTCAGGTAGCAAATGTTACATTCATTTTGTGATGACAGTGGTAAAATCAAACTATATACATATATTTATATTATTTTAGTATAATGTTTTAATATTGTATATAATAACTGCACAAGCAATAATTTATCTCTGCTTGGTTCGTTAGGTAAAAAACCAGCTGTGAACTGCTTTGAACAGGTTGTTGGTACTGATTATAGAGAAATTTTAGCTGATTTTATGGAAATAGTAGCTGTTTAGGAGACTTGTCAATTAGTAAATGACCATTTCATAATAACCATGTAGAGTAATGGCTCTTATATATCTTGGTTAGAATTGTACTCAGAAAGGTAGTTTTAGCGTGGTAAGGATGTTTAGGATGTTTTATTGTGGGCAGCACCTCATCTTTCTGCTCTTTCTCTAAAAGTCCAGAATTATTTATTATCAGATCCTTTCCACCCCTCAAAGAAGATAGAAAGAAGCATCACAACCGGATACATAAAAAGTCAGTAAGAGATTTCACTTGTTTGGAAAGACATAAATCTACAGGTGTTGCTCCCATTCTGCTGCACATCATGTAAACCTTTCTTGAACTAGCCTCTTGATTTTGTTGTTCCGCTAATAGGCAAATTTGAAGATCAGACTTCTTTTACATGTTTGCTTGGACCCTTCTCTCTTTTGCTACAGGGATTCTTCTAGGCTTGACACTTTCTTTAGATAAGCAGCCTGGCACTGAATTAATTTAATTTCTACTATAATTTAGTACTAGCTCTTCAAATTCTTCATTTGGGATTTGAAGACTGTGGTACTAGAAGCCCAACCTGAGACTTCAGGCATGCATTGTAGTATTTGACAGTAGGTCGTGTTTTACAGTATTTTAATCTGGAAAATGTATTTGTAAAGGGAGAAGAAAAGAGGCTATAGGGAATAATCCAGTGTTGTGAAAAGAATGGACTAAAATATTTTGTAGGTTTTCCTTTCACACATTGTTAAAACAATATGAATACAGAATAACACAAATTCCACTCTCTAGTCTGTCTTTTGAGATAAACAAGTTGATAAAAGAAAGTATAAAAAGCAACGGAAAAGGACAAGTATGTGTCACCATAAGGGCACTCTGTGTCACAAAGCAAGTATGCCTTAGTGCCAGCCAAAACAACCACCCACTCAAGGTACTGAAGGGTAGGCATGCTGTTATGACCCAGATTCAAATGGTGAGAGTAGGAGTGAGAAAGTGAAAGTGTTAATAATACTTCAAGCACAGAGCTAATAGGAGGGGAATTTCTGGGATTCCCCTTTCATTCCTATTCTCTCTCAAAAGAAAACTACAGAGTTCTCTCTGAAAGAAAAAGTCCCTTTGGCTTATCACCAAATGTTGAATTTTTAGACTGAATGATGTACAGCAGAACTGTATACCTGTCCTGACTGGAAATACCTGTATAGTAATGAAGAGAGAGAGATAAATTCAGAGGTTTAGAAAGTCTCAGAAGACTAAACTTTGACTAGTGTGGAAACAATTTTTGAGAATGGGAAAAAGATGGGTAATTTTAAATACTGACATACTTCTTTGTTTTGCTGCAGCTGACATAAATTTGAAGGACAGTAAATCTGTTACAGCCATCAACACCAAATCCAGCAGTCTGCCCAACCACATAGATTGCACAATGGCTTTGTTGGAGAGAATGGAGCATATGCTTACTATACTGCTGCAAAACCTTCTTTTTCTTACTCCTTCATGTGCCTAACTCAGTTCATTCTTACTAGAACAAGCATTTTTATGTTGCTGAAGTGTTTAATGTTTCATATTTTACAGAAGGATTAGGAAGCCTTCCAACTCTTTGTATCGTATTAACACTGAAATGGTGTTAAAACAAGAATTAACATTAGGAAATCCATCCATTTTACAGTGGTTGCTTTTTTAGTGATTAAGTTTAATCATTAAGAAATTAAAGTTTGATCAGACTCTAGCAGCTCCTATGTTTAATGATGCTCACAGACGCAAATTACCGGACCCTTTGCAAGTAGGTAACTCAAGTAGGTAGATTGTGTATTACAGACATAAGGATTGCAGCATCTCAAGCTGTCTGAAAATTTCTATGCCTCAGGAAGTCCTGTATTCAGTACATTTTCACATGCTAAGTGTAGGTCAGTAAAGATAATTGTATGGTAGTTCTGCCTTTAACTTGTTAAACTTGAAATGGGTTGCTGGCCTACCACTATCTCTTTCTGTTCATGTTTTCTTTCTTTGCTGTAGGCAACTTTTCAGTCAAAAAAAAAAAAAAAAAAAAGAGAGAGAATCACAGAATCATTGAATTATTTAGGTTGGAAAAGACCTTTAAGATCACTGAGTCCAACCACTGACCTAACGCTAACAAGTCCACCGCTAAACCACATCCGTAAGTGCCACATCTACACGTCTTTCAAATACCTTCAGGAATGGTGACTCAACCTCTTTCCTAAGCAGCCTGTTGCACTGTTTTACAACCCTTCTGATGAAGAAATATTTCCTAATATCCAGTCTAAACCTCCCCTGGCACAACTTGAGGCCATTTCCTCTTGTTCTGTCACTCGTTACGTAGGAAAAGAGACCATCACCCACCTCACTGTGGCTTCCTTTCAGGTAGTTGTAGAAAGCAACAAGGTCTCCCCTGAGCCTCCTTCTCTCCAGGCTAAACAATACCACTTCCCTCAGCTGTTTTTCATAGAACTTGTTCTCTAGACCCTTCACCAGCTTTGTTGCGCTTCTTTGGGCATGCTCCAGCACCTCAACGTCTTTCTTGTAGTGAGGGGCCCAGAACTGAACACAGGATTTGAGGCTTGGCCTCAAATACTTCATCCCCACAAATACAGGGGGATTATTCTTCCAATAGTCCTTCCCACACTATTCCTGACACAAGCTATGATGCTATTGGCCCTCTTGGCCACCTGAGCACAAGCTGGTTCGTGTTCAGTCGGATGTCTGCCGACATCCCCTGGTCCTTTTCTACCAAGCAGCTTTCCAGACACTCTTCCCCAAGCCTGTAGCGTTGCACGGGGTTGTTGTGACCTAAATGTGGGACCTGACACTTAGCCTTGTTGAACCTCATCCCATTGGCCTTGGCCCATTGGTCCAACCTGTCCAGATCACTCTTAGAGACTTCCTATCCTCCAGCAGATATACACTCTCACCCAACTTGGTGTCATCTGCAAACTTACTGAGGGTGCACTTGATCCCCCCCATCCAGATCACTGATAAAGGTCTTAAACAGAACTGGCCCCACACATTACTTGTGTCTGGCTGCCAACTGGATTTAACACCATTTGGGCCCAGCCATCAAATCCGGTTTTTTTACCCAGTGAAGATTATACCCATCCAAGCCATGAGCAGCCATTTTCTCCAGGAGAATGATGTGGGAAGCAATGTCAAACGCTTTACTACACTCCAGGTAAACAACACCTGCAGACTTCCTCTCATCCAATGAGTCACTTTCTCGCAGAAGGAGATCAGACTAGTAAAGCAGGACCTGCCTTTCGTAAAACCATGCTGACCAGATCTGGTTGTCCTGTATGTGCCATGTGATGACACTCAAGATTATCTAGTCCATAAGCTTCCCCAGCACAGGCTGACAGGCTTGTAGTTCCCTGGATAAACCTTTTAGCCCTTCTTGTAGGTGGGCATCACATTTGCTAACTTCCAGTCTACTGGGACCTCCCAGATTAGCCAAGAGTACTGATAAATGTTGGAAAGTGGCTCAGAATCATTGGACTGTTTATGTTGGAAAAGACCTTTAAGATCACTGAGTCCAACCATTAACCTAACACTGACAAGTCCACCGCTAAATCACGTCCCTAAGTGCTACATCTACATGTCTTTTAAATACAACTATTCTCCTAAACAGGCTGAAGTGTGCTCTCTGGAAGTCCAAAGTAGCAGTTCTGATAAACCCCCTCCTTACTTCTCTAAGAATTGAAAACTCTTTACCATTTCTTGATGGCTATGCCCAAGATATCCTCCACCCATCACATCACCCACAAGCTGGTCCCTGCTCACCAAAGAAGAAATGTCAGTATGTGGTTGCTTGCTTACAATATTTAGAATTACTTCAAAAAATATGACTTTTTTTCAAAATAGAATTTATTTATTTACATTATCAGTTGTGCTTTCAAAGAGACTCCCCTGAGGCAGAGCATAAATGAATTGGAAGTGGGGCTCAGCGGTGACTCATTAGCCTGTTCTGGCATTTGCAGGAGAGGGTGATGGAAGGTAGAGGAAGAAGAGATTATATCCTTTCGTGATGGCTCTTGTAAGGGCTTTTTCTCTCAGTGACTGAGTGCAGATATTGAAAGTCTTTCCTATCTCCCAAATGTCTGATGTCAACATCAGATGTCATCTTTAGCAGCAGCAGCAGCAGCCGCTGTGACAGTAAAAGGCAAACAGTGGAAGACATAGCCAAAATGTTGAAGTCCCTGCTTCCCTCCTCAGGGCTAACAAAGCACGCAGAGACCTACATTCTGAACTTGGGACACAGCTGTTAAAAGCACTTTAGTTTTCCAACCTGTGTGTCTGGAAAACTTTGTGATTGCAAGCGATTCGGACAAGTCTGGCTTTTGAAGCAAAGCAAAAGCTGGATTCTGAAAGTTTTAAAGTGTAACAACTGAGTCAGAATGGCAGAATTTCACACCTCTTATTTCAGATTTTCAAAAGAGGCAAAATAATGTGCCTGGTATTTTAACTCAGCTTTGTTTTTAATAAACTAAAATATATGACGATATAAAACTATATGGATGGAATTAAATGAAATATACAATATACCCCAGAAACTATAACAAATAGCATCTTCATAGAAATCTTCATTCTAAACGGCAGTTTGAAAAGTATTCACTTCACATAAGAGCTGTTTATTAGTCTCATCACATTTCCTGGTACAATGAAACTGTTAGTAAGATATGGTGGTATTGGAAAATACTGTATGACTGTGAAATGACTGAAAATGACTGCATGTGAGGACTGGAGTGAATTGCCTTACAGTAGGTTGTCATGCTGTTTCTTTTTCTTCTTTTTTTTTTCAACTGCCATCTGTGCTCCAGAATTCAGGTTTTCACTAAAGCAAAAATCAGCTGTAAGGATTTCAGTCTCATTCACATTAAAACCCCTTGGAATAACTGAGAAGCTGATTGTATAGTTACAAAGAAAAAATCCGAAATTCCATCCCCTTCTCTTCCAGCTTGTATATAATCCTCATCAGTTTAAAATTTGTGGACTTCTAGAGCTGTGTAGAGTCATATAGAGGCACAAAGAGAAACCAAATACCAAGTGTTGTAGTGAAGATCCTTTACCTTTCTGCAAGTTTGCAATTGCATCTTTGAGAGGTCAGAAGTATCCCATTAATCTCAATGCAGTATCAGATTGGAGAGCTAACACCAGTAACTTGACTATCAACTTCATTAACCATTTCATTTTTTATCAAAGTGAAGTGTATGAAGATTGGCACAGGTAGTTCTATGCAGTACACTTGAGCAGCTGGAGACATAAATTATCAGTAATCTGAATTGATAATTAAGACAAAATCTGAGAATTCCTGTGATAGCTTTTAAAAGATGTTTATTTTATATCCATTGGGTTGGGTTTGTAGGTGGATTTTTAGGAGCAGCGCTGCATTTTTCCCATCTTGTGTTTGCATCATTTTGAATTGCAGAAGAACTCAGGTGGAAAACAAAACTCACTGATAATAAGTTGATAACGTCATCCAATATGTAGAGGGAAAACAGTAGTGGGTCAGATGCTGGATTTGTACTTCACATGAAAGAGACCACCTGGTGGTGCTGGTATCAGGGTATCTCCAACTTGATCATGGCACTCAGTAAGTGATGCCATTATGAATTGTTTCAAGAATAACTATTGATTGAAAACCAAAATAATCAGTGAAGGATATTGTCTTCCCTCCTTTCCATGTTGGTATTTTCTGGGAGGTGGTTCTTTTTCATGCATTTTCATCAAAATTGTTTGTGTTTTGTTTGTTAATGTTTGTCATTGGTTTTCCATGCAAAAGCCTGGTTTTCTTACTGTTTCAGGAAGCTTTTAAAAATGATATTGACTAAAACAGGCTCAGTATAACTCCATGAAAATGACACTCTTTTTAATCTTCTGAAAATTCACATTCTGAAACTCTTTCCTCTTTCTGGATCACACCGTCCATTGGATCTCTCAAATAATTCCCTTCAGAAGGAGGGCAGGAGGGAATGTCTCCATTCAGAGTACTAACCAGGCATGACCTTTTTCAAGTTGTGAAAACTGAGATTCATGGAACCTGAATTAATGTTTACACAGGCCTTGAAAAGTATACTGTGTAGTATAATTGCTGAGCACAACATAATTGTTAATTATTTTGATGTGGCTTTGGGCAGCATAAAACCAACGGTGTGCTCACACTCTGCATCTGCAGGAAACACCAAAAATCACAGGATTAAACAAAAATACTCTATTGTATAGGCTAGTAAAAAGGCAAAAAATAGTGTGGGGAAGAAATCTTGGCATTCTTAAACACAACTCTGCTAAAATACCCATTTCAGAGGAGATATGTTATACATTGAAGTAAAATGTTTATCAGTAAACTTCATATTACCTGGCAAATGGGAAAAACCAGTTCTGCAAGCATTAGTTAAAGTGAAAGGATTCAAGGCAAGTTTATGGTTAGAAAATTGTTCAGAAGATTGTTTTTATTTTACTAATGCAACACAAAATGAAGCAACACTGGTAAAATGAAATAGAACTTTGGGAGCAGAAGAGCCGGTGGCAGGACCGAGTGGTGGTGTAGTTTGTGCATTTCCCAGGCAAATTCTTCAGAAACCAGTATAATTAGTGAGTAATGTTTCACTGAATTGGTCTCTTTAGAGTGTCGGTGGAAGGAGGCAAGAAGTTGCAGTGTGTGAGTGCCAGCTGCATGCTGCAGCTGCAGTTCTTCATGAGGTTGGGTCTAACTTCTTGCTGAATGAAGTCTGGAGAGATGACAGAAGCTTAAAGCTCCTGATCATCCTTGCTGACCAGCAACAGTGATGTCCTAGGGTTAAATGCTGATTCTCTGAAGTTGGTGTCAAAGCTCCAGCTGACTTCAGCAGGAGCCAGATTTCACCAGCTTTGCCCTTCTAAAAGTATGCACTGGGAGTGCATTTAGGCATAAATCGTGGTTTGTTGTGGCTTTGGCTGGGGAACATTCAATCAATGCAGAACTGTGCTTTTTACCTGGAATCAACACACATCTTGTGTCAGCTCCATGTGTAGTCTTTCAGTTTCCCTGCTATGTGTCTGTGACAGAACTCATGTGGTGTGAGAAAGTCACAGCTTGCTCTCCGGTAGGTCTCCCGTGTGGTTTGGTAATGGAAGGGGTTTACAGACCATACTCACAACTGTGCCATGGGAAGGAGTTGCAGGCTCTGTGCATTGTGGATGTAGACACAGTTTTGTTACTGCAGTTGCTTTCGTCTCCAAAGGGCTTTTTTTAAGGTTTCAGCTCATGAGTATGTGCAGGACAGAAAGAAGTGATATGAAATGATACTCAGAAAAGACACAAGTGCAAAATCAAATAGTAAATAAAAGCTATTTTCATATAGCTGGTGTAACTGAAAAAAAGCATGATTTCACAGTACAAAATCACAGTGGAATTGGCAAGCCTTGTATTAATGTGGTTTATATCACACAGAGAACTGTGCACCAGTAGAAAGTGAACAACTGAGTATTTTGAAAGGAATGGTACATGTTACTTACTTGCGGGATTCACGTTGGAGACATTTTTTCTGAAACTGGAGGTACTTTCATATGCAAAACTTCACCCACAACAAATGACTGGGAGCTAAGAAAGCAACCCCAGTGGGAAGACTGCTTGGTAAATGTTGAGCTGGCAGAGACATACTGATTTTAGAGAGAAAGCAGTTTGAATACATCTCATGTGACTAATGGGATACACTACACTCAGTCTCTCTGCTAAGTATAGCATGTGTGCAATGTAAACCCATGTTATTTTGCAAAGTTTGTATGCATCTGCGAGATATTTAGCAGCACATTTACAAAGCTGGCGGAAATCTCTTCAGCTAAATTGCATTTGTTATCTTGTAACTTTTCCCACTTTAAAGACTAGCACAAATCCAACACAGTGGTACAGCAATACGTGTATTCAGATGTTAATATGTAAGTTTACATTAGATCTGCTCATCTTTATACCATTTGAGGAAGCTTTGTGAGGATCTTTTTCTTAGCCTCAGTAATTATAGCTACTTACAACTGTTCTGTGTCATGGTAATACCCTTGCAGGTTGCTGCATTTACTGGAGGAACCAAGGAGGATAAGTAGCTAGAACACTGAATTTCTGACAGATTTAACTAGGTGTGATATTCAGGGGAGTTTTAGATCAATTTCTCTTGTTTTTAATGAATGGTGGGGCTTAGAATGTTCAACTGTTACACTAGGAATATTTATGTTTAAAACCCCCAACCTTAAATGTAGCTGTATTTCTTATGCAAAATGCTTAAATGTATGTGAACTCACAAATTATTCAGATCAAATAGCTATACAGCTTTAAGTAGTGCTGAGGTTATATATAGGATAAATGTGACCTGTATGCAACCTAATACTCAAGATAGATAAGAAGATATAGAACAAAAATGACTGATTGACCAATCCCAAGTAAAGAAATTGGAATTTAAGTGAAGAGTTAATAAGGAAACTAACAAAAATAAACTGTGCTTTAAATATGCTGATATGGAAAATTAAGTGCTACAAGAACAGACATTCTTTTATATTCCTTTGAGAAATATAAAAAGCAGAGGTAGTCAAACTCATATCACAGATTTGGAATATACATGTCAACTCTGGAAGATGTTCTGCATTTCCAGAGACAAAGGTTTAATGTAGTGATTAGAAAAATCTTAAAGTTCATTCTAGGCTTAAGTGGATGGTATTATTATTCATATCAAATTTCCTCAGGTATTTTAGAAATGTGATGAAAATAACCAAGTCTCCATGTGGAGAAATCCATCAGCCATATCAATATAGCAATGACAAAATGACTTTTAAATTAAAATAGAAAAAAAAAAAAAAAGACCTATTTGTATAAAACCCAAAATGTGTTGAAATAATTAAAAATAGCAAAATTGTTTAAAAAATCTTATTTAAACCATAAACTGTAGGTACTATTCTATATAACCAAGTACCTAGGTGCTTTTAAAAGAAGTAGACTACAGTGCATATGTTAGTTCAGTTACTGCTTAAAACCTGAAGTGTAAGTTAATGTGTTAGTTAAGTTGATTGTTAATGTTAAAGAAACAGAGGTCCTGCTTCTCTGTTGCCTCTTTTTGGTTCTTTCCTAGTGGATTCCTTTGGGATGTGATTGATACAATACCAGTCACAGGGAATCAATACTAGAAATGGCACAGTTCTAAGACAGTTGAATTGTAAGCCAAGAAAAAAGAAACACTAATTGGCCAAACACAGTAATTATAACTTTATCAGTTTGTTAGTCAGTATGTTACAAATGAAAGGAGTGCAAAAAAAGTCTGTTGTTTCTAGCTCCTGACTATATTGAAATACTGCTCCCATATGATAATGTTGAAATGGTTCTCTCTGCTATGTGTGGTGGCATTTTCATTTGATTTTGTTCATATTTCATATCAGATTCATCGTTCTGTGTTCCAGCTTTGATCAAAGGGAACTTACATCTAAGCATGTCTGTCTAGAGCTTAGTTGTCCAGGCCATGTTACCCTACCTGATGTACAAAACTGGCACAGAAAATAGTGGCAGAATGTAAGCGATGTTTAATTATTTCATGGATGGTACTTCTACCCTTGCTAAGAGATCTGTTACTTTTCATAAGTGGAAATTAGGTTAGCCTGACCTGATTTAATCTTAATAAATATATTCTTGCTGTTGCTTTTCTCCTTATTAGATCCTGGGCTTAAAAATATCTTAAGTGATTATTTGTTGGGCTGAGTTAGGCTGGCCAGCTTCAGGGTATGGGTGTGTGGTTATGTTACCAAAATAAGCTTGGACTGAGCTGTTTTCCTTCTTGCACATAATTTGCTTGTTCCTTTTCCTTGTGTGGCACTGTTGTCCATACAGCCACACAACAAGCAAAATTAAGGATTTGATCCAGCAGAATTAACCCATCTGGGAGAGGGAAATAGGGAGAGATTTTGGTTCCTTGATCTGGCTTATTGCACAGCTGCAAAAGTGCCTATACTAACAGTAGGGAGATGACCAAATGTGTGGGACAAAGTATGTCCTGCCCACTGACTACCTACACATATGTGGGGTTAAAATTATTATCAGCTTCTCTTTCTCCCTGCCCAAACCAATATGGTGGTTACCCGTTTCCAGTCTTTTAGAACCTCTTGCATACTTGAGGATGTAAAAAGTACTTGCTAATGCCTTCAAATTACTTTATCCAGTTCCCTATGAGCTCTAGGCCATAGTAAATTTCATCAGGTTAGAAACCTAAATTTCATCAATTTAAAAGCCACTAATTTACCAAAGTAACTTCTAACTTGTTCTTTCCTTTCCCTAGCGTGAGTAAGAACTTTACCTCACTGTGCTAGTTCTCAGATGATCACTGGTAACCTTCTGAGGCTGCAGTTTCATGTTTGTTGACAAAACAGTATTCTAGTCCCAGTTGCTCTGGTGTTTGTCATGGGACATCACCTTCCAAGTTGTGCTGGTACAAGTGGCTGGGAGTCAGTTTTGTGGATTAAATCAGGGAATTGATCCAATTTGAAAAAGTCATGTTTTATTAATTGTCTTTTTTAATCCAAATCCTTGAGGGGACAGCACACCAGTAAAAACAAGACAGGGACAGGGAATATCTTAAACTACTGACCACTTTCTATTGTGAAAACAAGCCCCTGCAAAGACTTAAGCAAAACAGCTTCAGACTTAACATGATTGCAGCCGAGATTAAAATCTGGCCTTGATGCGTCAACCATCTGTTTCCATCCCAAGAAAAGAGACTCAGCAGGACTATTTGTAATTCTGAGGACAGGATTCTGATTTCAGTCCTGTAGAAATATATCACAAATAACTCTACTGATGGGTTTGGAGTTATTTTCTTGTTTATCCCAGTGTATAATGCTTGGGAACCTACCCTCCAGAAAATTACAGAATGAAAGGCATGCTTTGGGACAGACCTGGATTTCAGCCTCTCCAGGTTTACACCATCATTAACACCAGTGGAGTGCTCAGGCTTCATACCAGTTTACCTCAGAATATAGCCTTTTTTAAATAAGTATGGAATGCATATAATTTTGTCTCAACTTCAGAGGAGTATACCTCACCACACTGCTGGCTTGGTAGTCCTAATTAAATGTGTCATTTTTTCACTTCTTGAATTTTGCCCATATTTGAAGTGACCTGCACTGGGACTGTATTAAATCTGTGAAGGAAAAACATGGATACCTCTATTTTTATTTCCTGCAAATCCAATTAAAAACATATTAAAAATAAATTAAAATGAAATTAGATTAATTTAAATTAAAACATTCATCACTTGTGGATCTCATCTTGCTGACCGTTGTTTGCTAGCAGTTACAGAAGAAGTTTTATTCTTAATAATATGGATAAGCATTTTGACTAGGTTGCTGAGTTTTCTGCTGTTCTTTTTTATCTGTTCCTATTACTTGTGTTTGGTACAGAGTGAATACATTGATTGATGTTACCACAGGTATAATTAAGTATGCACTTCGGTTTCTGGGTGAGAATTAAAATAACTGAGATCCAGTGTTTATAACACATACTGGAAGGAAATGTTATGTATCTGTTGACTTTATAGGTAAAACAATATAGCAGAACATCAGAGATGAAATGTCCTATTTTTTGTGTACATCTGCAGGCTTATGTTTGCACAAAAAGTGACACACCATTTGGAATGTCCTAAAGAAAATGTTGTCTTCTCGCCTGATTTGCATAACTCTTCGAACTTGCACATAGCATAGGACATATTTGCTCAGTATGTATTTGTTTTAGTAGTGTCTTCTTTTTTGTCGCACCATTCCCCCTTCTTGCCATGGTGCAGATTTACATATAAAGCCAATTTAATTAATATGTCACAGAAAGAACATCAGTTTTTTGTCAGTCTCTGCTCTAAAACCCAAATATTGTGGATATTTACAGATGTTCCTCTCTTTACATCTCCTCCTGTAGCATCAACAAGTCTTGCCACCTTCTCCTTCTGCATGACCACACAGGAACCACACAGGAACCACCTGTTTCCCTTGCAGGCTTAGCTTCAGTCTCTCTGCTTCTGTGACTTCAGCAAGCTTATCCTTCTTCAGCTTGCAAATTTACAGGCTTGATTCTCCACTCAGCCTGTAGAGGATTTCCTAAAAGGCACCATCAACAGAGCTGGCTTCTTCCTTCTTTATGGACCAAAGTGCATTCTAAACTAACTCCCTGCGTGTCACTCAAGGACTGATACTGCTTGGATCTCATTCATGGAAGCACATGTAACATCCCACAGTGCTGAAATAAGATACCACTGGTTGGTCCATTAATCCACAGCCAATTTGTGGTTGTGTTTTTTGTTGTTGTTAGGGTTTGTTTTATTTTTCTCAAATGCATCGTAGCACATTGTAAAGCACTACTGTTTTCAAGCTCCTTTTCCAGAATTTGTTGTGAATCGCGATTGTCACTTTTGCAGGTCATCCACTACAATCATAAGAAGAAAATGCAGGTATTGTATTTGGCATTCATTGGCATGTGTGATGTATGTATATTCTGCATATGTATATACATATGTATATGCATATATATATATGTATATTCTGCATTCTTTCTGACAGCTCCAGGGAATTTCTCAGTAGGTGTATGTGGACTAATAGGAAGATTTTGGTGTCATCACCATCTTATGAGTGTCTTTAGTGGCTATATATATGTGTATTCAGATGACATTCTGGTCATTAACCTTGAGTCAATGGTATGCTATGAAGGCTAATCACATACTGCATAAGTAAAACTGTGGGCAGCAGGTTGAGGAAAATGACTGTTCCTTACTATTTAATTCTGTGTGATAGTTTCTGGAAATCTATGTCCTATCTGAGGCACTGTGGTACAAGAAAAATATTGACATATGGCAGGGCTATGTTTTGGTATGATATGCATCTTACCGATGTATATGGGGAATCTTACCAATGTATACAAGTACCTGAAGGGAAGGTGCAAAAAGAACGGAACCAGGCTCTTTCCAGTACTAGGCCAGTGACAGGACAAGTGGCAATGGGCACCCATGGAAACACACGAGGGTCCCTCTGAACATTACTAATCATTTTTTTTGCTGTGAGTGTGACTGAGCACTGATACAGGATACTCATAGAGGTTGTGGTGTCTCCATTCTTGAGATATTCAAAAGTTATCTGGAGGTAGTTCTGGGCAAGCAGCTCTAGGTGGCCCTGTGTCATGGTTTAAGCCCTGCAGGCAACCCAGAACCACTCAGCAGCTCGCTCATTCCCCACCCCTTCCTCCACCGCGCTCCTGGACGGATGGGGAGGAGAATCGAAAAAATGTAACTCCCACGGGTTGAGATAAGAGCAGTCCAGTAACTAAGGTATAACACAAATCACTACTGCTACCACCAATAATGATAAGGGAAATAACAAGGGAAGAGAATACAACCGCTCACCACCTGCCGACTGATACCCAGCCCAACACAAGCAGAGATCTAGCCCTTCTGGGTAATTGCCTGCAGTTTATATACTGGGCATGACATGCTGTGGTATGGAATAAGCCTTTGGCTAGTTTGGGTCAGGTGAGATTCAGAAAGTCCTTGGTCAGACTAAACATTACTGAGCAGCAACTAAAAACATCGGTGTTATCAGCACTGTTCCCAGGCTGAAAGTAAAAACCACAGCACTGCACCAGATACTAAGGAGAAAAATTACTGCTACTGCTGAACACAGGACACCCTGCTTGAGCAGAAGTGTTGAATCAGGTGATCTTCAGAAGTCACTTGCAACCTCAGCCATGCTGTGATTCTGTGACATGCAGGAGCAAATCCAGTAAAGAACCAGAAAGATGATTAAGGAGGCGTATGTTCTAGAAGGCTAACAATAAGATCATAGGGAGGGTGGGAAACAGTGGAACAGGGGCTTAGACCAATTATGAAATCTCCATCCTTAATATTTGACATTATAATTATATATAATTTTGCTTTGTGTAAAAAAAGTTTCCAATTGCCACTTCAAAATTGCCACTAAATTTCCATTTCAGTGAATGCTCCCTTATTCTTGTACTGAGAACATGTTATCTATTATTGTGATTTTTTTTTTGTGTGTCCCCATTTGTTTGCTTTCTGTCTAAGACAAACACAGGAGTGTCTTTCAGTGTTTTTCTACTAATTTTTATTTCAGTTTATTCTTCTATCCCATTTTTGATAGTGGCATTTAAAACTGTGCAGTGTTGCAGATGACAAGTGGTCTATTAAGTTAACTGAATTACAATGCATAGATAGATATTTCTGTTCTATTACCATTATGTTTTGTGCATAGGCTAGTAACTGCTTACTCTTTCTACCGCCACCTCTTCATGAGTAATGGTCTTTTTGATCTATGTGCAGTGTTTGTTGAGTCTTTGAGACACAGCCAGTTTAGGACCCAGGACAGTGAGCAGTTCCAGTGATTTCCTTTAAAGTGTGCTGAAGAAATTTGCCAGCATTTGGTTTCATCTGCCATCATATTTTCTATTCACTCAACTTGCTTAAGGCCTCCAAAGTTTTTCACAGTTTCTCTGGTCTTGATCAACTTAAATAATTTTGGAATGTCAGCAGAACACTTTCCAGATAGTTGATAAACAACAGATGCCCAAGGATGGAACCTTGTGGCACACCATGAATAACTTCATGCCATAGCAACCATTTTTCTGTCTTTTTGTTTCTTATTATTTCACCATTTTTGATCTGTGCAACTGCTTTGTCTCCTCCTCTGCTTACTTAGCTTCTTTAGTTACTCTTTATAAAGGGTTTGGAAAAAGGAATTTTGAGACCTCCCTAAATTATGTCAGCCTTCACTTTTATGTACTATGCTACTGACTATCTCAAAGAATTTTAACAAATTAGCTCCTTTCAGACCTTATGGTATATAGATCCCATTATGTTCTAAGTATTTTATAGTCACCAGTGCAAATAATTTACCTGCTATTGAATGGAAACTATTGGTCTGCAATTCACAGGATGGCTGCATATACTTTTACATAACTGCTTGTGCAAATTCTGACCATCCTTCAGCCCTCAAGTATGATAGTGATCCTGCTCTCCCACTCGGGAAAGCGACATATTGTGTGTATAAATGTACTGTCTTTCAGTACTGTATGTTCGTATAAGCATACAGTACTACCACATTTAATGCAATGGACACAGCAGACCACTGAGACATAAGGTTATGATGCTGTGATTGCATGTGTTGTTACTAAACTTTTACTCTTTCCATTTGAATGTCAGTTTCCTCCATTTCCTTCCATATTATCTTCATAACAACTTTAGACTCTTGCAAACTACCTGTCTTAAGTTATTCAAGGTAGGATTTTACACACACAAATTTGCAGCTGAGTCCAATACATTCGTACACTTTGTTTTCCAAAATTCTTAAGCCCAGACAAATCTATCTGACCCGTTTCCTATTCTCTGCTTTTTCTGAGGTCCAGATTTCCTGCGTGTCTTTTTCAGCTTGTTAGTGTTAGATTCTGTAGCACTGATAATGTAATGTCTAGTCTATCTTAAGTACGGGGACTAATCTGGCTCTAAGGGAGCTTGATGTGCTGTATACCAACCAGGCTGTACTGACTTCAGTGCTGTTAGATTAGTCTATAGCACCAGATGGCCTTCTGTCTTTTTGGCATGCTCACAAAATGGCCAGTCTTACTCTGCTGCTCCTGGGATGGTATTTGCACATGGAGGATGATGACTGCACTCAGAAGCCTTTCCTTTTCTGCAAGGTCGGTTCACATTTAGAACAGTGTCCTGGATGCTCAGGTAGCACACACTGACCCAGTCTGCTTTTCTCAAATCAAGCAAGTATCCATCAGTACTACAGTGAAAGAATCTAACTTGACTTTTCTACTGTATCTGGAAGTGACGTTTTGATGCTTTCTGTTCTGGGCACACCCCTAGATATACTGGAGTTCAGAATGAGCAAAGATGTCAGGAACATGCAGTAAGCAAAACAAGGTAGTAAAACTGGGAAGACTTTGTTGCAGACAGCTGGGGATTGGTCACCTTTGCTGTAAGCAGTTAGCACAAGTTACAGCCATATTAGGCCTCTCTATTCCAAAGAAAAAAGTGAACTTAGCTCTGAAGAAGGCACTGCAATTACGTGTAATAATTATGGGCAGTAATGGTGGCATGTTGCACCTACATCTCTCTAAGCACAACAACATGTTCTTTTGCAAATTCTTGACATTTCTTCCTGTCCACCACACTAGGGAGAGATGATCTCCAGCAAGGAAGATAAATGGGCTAAAAAGGTGGAGATACAAGTCATGATAAGGAATTTGTAAAAATGTAGAAATCAGACTGCAAACTTTAGTTTCCCAGGAGGCAAGATCCTGAACTCTTGCACCTTGCCTCTTCAGTGACCCTTACCTCAGCAGTCCTTTTTCCAAAATGACCTCACACTCGTCTGGTCACCTTCTGTCGAACCAAAGTGAGAAAACAAGATGGCATTAGATCTATTAACACATTAGCTCAAGTGAAATGGAGAGATGAGGAGTCAAGGCCTTGTCATGTTCTGTGTTGAGCTGATGCAACAAGCTCTGCTGGGGCCCTGAGGTCTGGAGCAGTACTTGGCTAGGAACAGTTAAAACTTTATTGTCCCTACTTTTATGCACTGAGGCTGATATGGATCATTTTGTGCCTCCCACAGTATATGACAAGACAAATTACTTGCAGTGAGCTTCTCCTGCACAAGTGGTCAACACACATTTCATTACAGAGCCAGCAACTGGTATATCAAAAGTGAAGACCTGGTACTTCATTAATTCACTTTCCTTCATGCTTTTTCCAGCTGTTCTTTTTTCAGTATTTAGTCAAATATTTAGTCAAAGAAATCTCATTGCTGACTTTGACTGGCAAAGGATTCTTGATCTGCATGCACAGTATATTAGCAGGTGGCTCACCTTCATCTAAGTGTACAGTGTGTTAGTGGATGACTCTGCTTGTAAGCTTCCCCTCTCAATTTCTGAAAGATCTTGAGGAGTTTATGCCAAAAACAGCTTTCTTAACCTATCTTTTAAGTTTCCCTCTTTAAGCTTTTGAGGAAAAAGACTTTAAAAGAAAATCGTATTTTTAGAAACATATGCTTTTCATATCATATAGTGGTTCATTTGTCAGTTATCTGAGATAACTCAAATGCTTTTGGAAGCAAAACACTTAATCCTGAGGACTGTATAGGCAAATTTATCCATCATCATTCATGGGAATTTCAAAGTGCCCATAGGGTAT